GCACATCTTCCTATCAATAGGAACCGACTATTTTTGAACCATTCAAATCGGTTGATCCGTGCGAAACGTGGACGAAAAAATGCGGACATACAAAACACACACACACACATCCATTTTTTCTGAGGTATGCCAGAATGTTCAGAAACCTTCAAAACATCGAGAAATGCAAAAATTTTCATTTTCGTTTTTCGATCCATTGCTATAACTACCCTACAGGAAGTTAATAAAATTATAAAAGCTTAAGTCACAATTTTTACAAACAAAATTTACAAAATATAAATAGTTATTTTTATATTATTAGTATAAAAATAACTATTGCTATCAATAAAAAAATAAAACATTATTAAAACCAGATCATATCAATAAAATGCTGAATTTGAATTTATGATATAAAAATAATTAGTCTGGAAAATGTTAATAATGCTTAACATGATGATTAGAGTTAAAATTAAATAATAGTATTCGTGGGATATTTTAATGCTAAGTGCATTATAATATTTATAATAATTCAATTACAAGTTCATTAAAAGTAATTATATTATTACTACTATAACTTACTATATTACTACTAATATCACAGTTCTTAAATTGTTTTCGACTTGAAAAAATCACGACATTACGCATCCATGTAAATGATGTCTAAAATATATTGTTTTTAGAAAACTTTATTAATGTATTGAATATTTTGTAAACTAGTTACAGGCTTTGACTTTTATATACTTTTTTTTATTTGGCCTCTTATTTACAAATTAGCTATATATAAAGTTTCCTACATTTAAATTCTAATTTTACATTTAACTAAAAATTTATATGTAATTTTATAATAATCAATATTTGCCACTAAATTAAATAAATTAAATGGTTTAACTAAATTTTTCATTCTATATAATTCATATAATAAATAATCCCTATTTTCTTGATATCTGCTACAGGTTAAAATTATATGCTATAAAGATATATACTTTTTATTTTACTACTTTTATAAATATTTATTTAATCTTTAATATAAATATAACACTACTTGATCTATTTACAAATCTGCACAAAATCTATAATTTTAGATATCATGAGTATTAATTCAATCTATTAATTCCAGTGCTCCTTAAACACATCAGGTGACTATGGACAGAAGCGTAGTATTAGCAGCTTTAGTTGCATTATTGATCTATCCAGTAATCCTGGTGATCCAGGCGTGGATGAGAAGACGTAAATTCATCGAATTAGTCGAAAGACTACCAGGACCGAAAGCGAAGCCTCTGGTCGGAAACACTATGGATTTTAGAGTTCCAAGAGAAGGTAAAGGATATAAATATACTGGTATTGATGATAGAATTCTAGTTTAATTTTTTTTTAATAAGCAAAATTTAAAATGATTGGATGTTTTCGTCTTCTTTGGTTATTGAATATGAATTAATTATAATAATAATAATTTTACACAATAAGGTTTCTTTTGCTTCAATTTTTTATCAGATGGTTCTATCAAATAATTTGGATTCTAAAGTACATGTACTTTTCAATTGCATCATGTATTCTGATCTGATTTGTTTTTATGGTTCAATTACTTATTATTGTCTGATTTAATTTTGCACTAGTTTTTTAATAATCTCTCATAATGATTATACGCAAATATCTACTTTTAGAATAAAATTTTCTACTGTGTAGTTTATTTTCTAAAAAATTCAGCCTGCTGGATTTAGAATGTTTTAGAAAAAAAAGTAGAAACTATAATTTTAAATCAATATTATAATATGAATGCGATTTTCATATTGTTATCGTTTTTCTCAAGCTAGTGTTAAAAAAACTTTTAAGTTTAATATTGCAGTTGGTTACTGGCTTATATATTTAAATTTCAATTTTAAGAGTTTACGAGGCTTGGTTACAAACTTTCGATTAACAAATATCTGTATTCGCAAAAGTACTGAATTGTCCTTGTTGCATTATGCGTTGTTGTTGCGTTTTCAACGAATCTAATTACTAATTATAAACTTTATTTCTGAATTTATTTATAACTTTATTATTGCCACTACTGATACATAGTATCATTTCATAGTTAAATTTATTATTACTATTCTTTTATTTTACAGAAGTGTTCAAAGTTTTTGCCAAAAGAATCAAAGAAAACGGTCCATTATTTAGAGTTTGGGCTGGACCAATTCCTGTCGTAATTATCAGAAAGGCTGAATATTTAGAGGTAAAGACATTTATTTCATTATAATGCTTAATTTCATAATAAGTAATTATTAATTTTCAAATTTCTTTTATTAGACCATAATGTCATCTTCAAAGTACATCGACAAGTCGTATGGATATAAATTTTTGCATCCATGGTTAGGCCTGGGTTTATTGACATCTTCAGGTAAGTATTTTTTTCTAATTTAATAACCATATATATGTATATATATATATATATATATATTAAAATATAGTGTAAACAATAAAATATTAATAATTCAAATTGGTCAAACCATGTTGGGGTAAGAGACCTAATTAAGTTCAGAAAGCAATTGAACTGAAAGTCTCAAATTAAGCATATCTGATATTCAAACCGAACACTTAAAAATATTATAGGCATATTAGAAGTGGTTTGATCATAAACATCAAATAAATTTTGAAAGTCCGATTCATAAATAGAAGGTAAAAAGTATCAGGTTCCGTAAGCGTATTAAATATTGCAAAAATATTTATGAAACTCTTTGTTGTGTTCAGTCAAATTGATTTGTCTTAAAGTATTATTTATCTGAACTAATCATTTCAAACAAAACTTGTTCTAGGGTTTCTCATCCTAAAACTGTTTTCATCAATATTTCACTTCAAAATTAATGCTTTTCCCAAATTTACTCGTAGTGATCGCTATACTCTATTAACATTTTTGATAAAATGTATCTTTTTTTGTTTATATGCTTCAATATTCATTTATCGTTAAACTACGTCTATAAAATTCATCCCTGTACAAAGTACGTATCTGAATATCGCGCAAGAACTAAAAGTACCGTTACTCCGATTAAAAAACCAGGCAATACTGAGTTCGTCTTAAATTTTAACAACGACTCCCAAAGGGAACACAAATATTTTTGGACAGGAACTACAGTGAAGTTTCGAATATTCTGGTTATTATTATTATTTAAAAAGTAATCAAAATATTTTCAATCTCAAATGCTGCATTTTAATCGCCCGTAGGTAAGTGATTAGAACTACCAAACCTGTTGTCAAGTAGCGATAACAGTTTTCACTTTGAAATATTGATAGCAATATTGTTCCAATTGATAATAGTCTTGATTCGACATTGTTGCATCAATCAATATTGACCTTATTAAGAAACTTCTAATAGTAATTTTTCACACAGGGATGGAAAAACTGTTTGCGTTGCCATTTGTAGAAGAGGCTTAAATCAAATTAGTACTACATATTATAGGCCTCTTAAGTTCTAACTTAACTTAAGTTGTTCAAATTTTTTCATTCTTTACTATATTTACAATATTTCAATCAATTACTATATTTATAAATTTGTTAATGTGCAAAAATAATAATGAAAAATGTTGCAATTAAAACTTCTTGTCGAAAGTTAAGAAAGAAAAACTACTCTTGCTAGTGTTCTGTGTGTTGTTGTGATGTATTTGCTACTATATATACTATACTTCATTAGAAAATAATTGAATAATTATGATTTCTGTGATGAAGTTTAAATTTTTAAAATTCAAACTAGTTAATATTGGTATTTTGCCTTGATCCCGATGTGTGTAAATAAACGACTTAATCAATAAAAATAAATTAATTTATGAGTGATTAAAAGTATTCCGAGTGGATTTATTACACATAATTGAAAACGAACAAACACGTTAACTCGAACTATTTTCTAAAAGCAAATTTTCAAGAATCAACAATTTTTATAATTGAACCAGTTTCCATAGGACTTTGATGGTTTAGTATATTCATTAAGGCCAAGTTCTCTATCGTTTATACCAAGTAAATCGTCTAATTTTAATTTTAACAACGTCAAAAAAAAATCTCATTTTCTCAAACTTTGATGAATGTTCAAAATTAAACTACTTGTCCTAAGGTCGTAATATTTTAGTATTTTTTATAAGATCATGATATACTCGTATATTTACGGCAAAAAATCTGTTCACATACATGTACACACACGCATACATACTTACTCCAAATTTGGTCTCATTCGATTCAGAATGGCTTGAAACATCGAGAAAAACATAAAATTAGCGATTCGGATTATTTGATGAAACACAAATTTCTCCTTCGGGAAGTTAATACATAACTCATTTACGACGTTTTCGGATACTATTTTCTTTATTGTTATATATCAACAGCAATGAGAACCGTCCGTTCTATAAGCTGTTGGGCTGAAACTTCTTCTTACTTCGTATTTTATATGGTAAACCTAAGGTTAATCCATCCATATTTTATGATTTTATTAGAATTTATCTAATAGGGCTGACTATTATTGGTGCAGCAATATTGGACAAGGGCTATTTTCACTTTGAATCATATTTCTATCTATATTTCCAAGTGAAAACCGTTGTCACTACTACATATGAATATATTATTTTTTTATCATTGTGATAAGTCTTCCTATTCTTGTATTAATAAGAAAGAACTGATTAAATTTTTGGGAAGGCAGGTCTAGCGGTTGTGGACTCTCAATAAAAATAAGTTAAAAAAATGTAATTTGGCGGTCAAAAATGTTTGTGTATACATTTTGTGTCAATTTTTTTGGGTTCCGTACCAAGATTTTTAATTACGGTACGGGAAGTGCCAACAATTTGCCTTATGGCACGATGTCATGCACTCCTCTAGTTTATTTTCTATTACTATAATATTATTATGAAATATAGTTTCCAACACTTCTTAAATAATGTATATATTTATACAAAACAGCTTATGTTTTTCATTTAGATTTTCATTCCGAGCACAATAGATACACGTATGGTTATGAAAATGTGTGTGTATATCTTCTATATGATATGTGATTCAGAATATTTTGATATAGTGAATATCATTCATCGTATCAAAAATCTCGATTCGTTTGTGAAATTGAATGTCACATAGTAATGGCAAACATAGCCTTGTGAATTGATTATAGTAATATCGCCTGGATTTCCACTGATATACATCAATGAACGATCGTTTCAGCCATCGGCCATCGTTCGTCTATTACACATTTTCTATTTGAATAACCGAATATTATTACGATTTTGAATAGAATAATATTTATAGACATACATATATATACATGTATATATATATATATATATATATATAACAAAATAAAAATATTTTTTTTTACAAGTTGACTTATAAAACAAACTCCAAATGAATAACATGAGAAGAGATTTTTTTTAAAAACAGATTAATTACATTTGTGATTCTAGTTGTTTTTATTAAGGGGTATACAACTAGTGTGAAGTTTTTAAAAAATCGTATTTTCAATTTTTCATATTTCGATAGGTTATACTTTTAAAAATATATACCAAAATTTTAAATCGATATCTAAATAGTTTTTGAGTCACAGCCATTTAAAGAGTATATATATAGTATATAGTATAACCATCATTTAATCTTTAAACGCGTTTTTCTTGAAACAGCATTTTCCGAATTTGCTGCAGCGATTACTCGAAAACAAATGATCCAATCACTACCAAAATTTTTTCTACATGTTCTATATATAGTTCTCCGTAAAACGAACTATCGATTTTTTGATCGGATCAAAAATCGAATTTTGGCAGTCGAAAAACGGCCAAAATTTCGGGTAAAATTCGACTTTTTTTTAAAAAAACGCCGTCCTTTTGTCAATTTTTGTTTTTTTTTTTATCGTAGTTCATTTTACAGAAAATATTATCTAGTTTAACGGGATTTGTTTTTTAAATTTCATCCATGTAAAAGGCCGGAATCACTGCGGCAGTGAAAGGCCTTTTTTTGTCGCGCCGTTGGAAATCGACGATAACTTAAAAAATATTTAATAATAATTTTTACTATGTATTCTTAAAGCATGTATAAATATATTCCTAAAATTCTGAAATGATTGATAAAGTTTTATTATAAATTCCCAAAAATCACCTTTTTTAGGCGGTTACATAGTTGTGTCCCTTAACAAATAGAGGTAAAAATTAATTATTATTAAAGTTGATTTTTCTATTTATTATGGTATTGTACCTTTAATGCGCGCATATAAATAATAAAATAGTTTTGTATAATAGAAACTATAAATATTAAATTTATATATTTTTGGATTATTCTTTAACATTTATTTTCTATATACTTCATAACCATTTCAATTAATATAAATTTGTTTATATTAACACGATATTAGCCACGATAATATTAGGAAATTTTTCATATTGGCCAGGGTAACTTTATTAGATAACTTAATTAAAAAAGTATCGTGGAAACTTAATGTATCAAAGAATAAATAAATAGCAAACATTTCTGAAAAAAAAAACATTAATTTTTATGTCACACATATATGACGGACATGGCCCTTAAAACATTTGGACATTAAAACATTTTTCTCGAGAAGCCAAGAAATTTTTAGGTAATATGTATTTTCTTAGCATCGGATACATATGACTGACATGCCAATTAACATGCTAAATTCGTAATCATTATTCATTCCTAAAAATTTATTCTTCATTTTTCTTAATTTCCTTACAAGTCAGTTATTTTATTGGATTTAGCATTTTTTTATATATTAAATTATATTAATTTTGTAATTTTATAATTGTTATAATTTAAACTAAACTTTAATCTAAACTAAAAATTTTATTGGCTAGTATATAATTTATTAAAATTTTTTATACAGGTTCGAAATGGTTAAACAGGAGAAAAAGTCCTAACTCCAGCGTTCCATTTTGGCACTCTCGAAGGCTTTTTCGACAACATCCAAGTGCAGGCTCGAATTCTTGTCAAACTGTTGAAGAAGCATGCAGTGGACGGTGAAGAATTTAATGTGTATCCATATATTACGAGAGCTGCTTTAGATATTATATGCGGTAAGTAGAAATAATCACGAGGTCACTATAATAAACCAGTTTTAATAATAGTAAATTTCTCATCAACGATATTTTCCAAGCTATATATGGTATGGTTCATGTGGATATAAGCTATGAATGTTGAATTTAGAACGTAGTAAATGTACACTTTATGATTTTAGACGCTTATCATATGCTTAATTCTGTGGTTTATAATATGTCTAATATTTATAATTTAAGCGGTCAAAATTATCTATTTTTTATTATCATACCAAGTGGGTAATTAACTACATTACGAATCTATTTAATACTTACTTTTCTATTTATATATGACTTATTTATTATATCAGTTATATTTTTTTTTTTTAGTTATATTAACTTACCGTAGGGTAAGTTACTGTAATCGTCCAAAAATTAAAATTTAAAATTTTGCATATCTTCACGTTTCGAAGGTTTCTGAACATTTTGCCTTACCTTAGAAAAATCGGATGTGTGTGTGTATATTTGTATGATTAATTTTTTTCGTCCACGTTTTCGGGCGCATGATCAACTGATTCGAATGGTTGCTATTGATAGGGAGATGTCTTTCGGAAACGGCAAAGGTCCATCCGTTTCGGAAATACGAAACAAAAATGCAAAAAATTGTAATCTAGTTTCTGAGAGAACTGAGCATCCGATTTGAATGATTCAAAAAACTTTCTGCTTGTGTTCACAAAAAAGTTGCTTTTTGAGAAAAATTATTTTTTTTAAATTTTTTTTATTTAAAAAAAAAATTTTTTGAACTAAATTTTATTCTTTGAATATTTCAATATAGTACTGGAAGTTCCAAAATTGGTTTGAAGGCACAATGCAATACACCACTAGTTTTACATTTTCATTTCCCATATAATTTCGTGTTCTTGGTGGACATCTAACAAAAATAATAAATAAATGGCAATGGGTCGAATTTGAAATTGGTAATTCTTTTTTAAATACAATTGTGTGAAACTAAAAAAAATATTTTTATATAAAATAGGAACTATAAAAATTAGCAGAATTTGCAGTTAGTATGTTTTTTAAAGTATTTTTGCAATGCTAACAGTCATAGTCTAATTGATTGAACTATATAAAAACATACTTTTTTGGACATTCTTCATCAACTTAATAAATGGGAATTGAGAGTTACTTAGATCAAGTAGTCAACTGCTACTTCAAAAATAAAATATTTGCTTCTACTAAAAAATGATCAATACGTTTTCGATTGATGTCTTTCAAACAATTTATAAGAAATTTGTAATTGTATAAATTAAGTTTTTTTTAATTAACACATTTTATTTAATCTATTTTGTTTCTTAAATTTAATTATATTTAAATGTGGACGTCAACTGTAATCAGTAGCGATTTAGAAAACACCACAGAACAAATTCATGCAAAAATTCATAGTGGCATAGATTCTGGTTAGAATCACTTAAGCGCGCTGCGAAATTGTAAACCTTGGTTAATTTTTATAATTAACTATAATATTTTATTACATTATTTTGGATTGCGAAATCTGTTGTTTAACAAAGTTTATCAAAAACAAAAACGTCAAAAATAACATTTTTTAAATATTCAATTACCAAGAAACGGTCCGGCCAATCTTTAACAAAATTAATCAACGCGATTTCCCACCAATACCTTTCGAATAGTTTTTGATTTTTAAAATCGATTCAAGATTGCTAGCCAAAACATGGACAAACATTTTTACAAGCTTTTGTTATTACAAAGAAACGGCTTCGCCGATCTTCGCACAGGACTAATCACCAATAGTTGTTATCGAACTGCGGTCCAGCCATTTTTGAAAATACATCGACTAAAGGTCGAATCGGCTTTACATACACACACATATTTGTTCCAAATTTAGTCTCATTCGATTCAGAAAGACTTGAAACGTCTAAACAGCATAAATTTACCAATTCGGAATTCTTCTTGAAAACTTAAAGTTTTCCTTCAAAAAGTTAAATGTGTGCTCAAAATGAATAATTTTTGTTTCGTGGTATTATTTTTGAATGTATCTAGGATATGGAGTAAATACTTTCTTATATCACAATTGCAAAAACTTGGAGATTAAGTACCTTATCCATTATATGGTAAAATGAATATCATGTAATTTACTACTCAATTATTTTTTCAAATACGAAATCCGTTATAACTAGCCGTATCTCTGATTTACCGTCACCTCTATTCTGGCTGAAAGCTGAATGTGTCCGAAAATATTTATTGCCAGATTTTTTCTTTTAACTCGGACACAATTCACAGAGGGAGCAAGTAGGGAAGGAGATACGTTCGAATGTACCATCGTGGAAAATGTACTTTTTATTCTTATTTCGAAAGCCCGACTTTTCTGGCCTCTTGCGCCACCCGTCACTTTGCTTTTGGCGTTACTGGAGGTAGTTTTCTCAAACCATTTAGGAAAAATTAGAAGTTTGAGTAGGAAAAGATTCTAAATAATCCAATTATAAAAAAACATAAAAAGCATAGTAATTAATACATAATCAATAAAAATACTTACTACTGAATTATATAAGTATTTTTTTTGTTCTGCTACAGTTTTACGTACCTCAATATAAAAATCCCGGAGACAATTTCATGCCATGGGAGCACCATTTTTCTTCGCCTTCCTTCTTTGTATATAATCTATTTATTAACCTTTTTGTTCCACGTGGCCTCTGTTACTGCTTTCAATTCTATGTTCTTTTTTCTCGTGTTTAATATTTGCATTCTACTTCATCTTAACAATTTTGGTCTTTCTATATTTTTCGAGACCAGCAATGTTTTTTAATATTAGTTGATTATAATTATTCTTCTGCTTCAAATGGTATTATGTAGTTATTATTTTTTGTTCCAGGCTTCGCAGTACACACTTCCAATTTTCAAATAATTGTTCATTTCTTCTTTCAGTGGATCTATATTTAGTAGAATAGGGCGGGGCATAAAGGTCCAATTTGACTTTGAGCAATTATATTCTGAAAACCTAACCAATTATATCACAAAGAATAACACATATCAAACAAAATAACTATCTGACTATGTTCAGTAAAACTTCCAGCTAATTTATCGTTGTAGAACTATATGTTTATCTCAGTTTTTCAAAAATTTGTAACCTATTCTTTTTCACCCCGAGTAAAATGACTAGGGGGCAAACAGATCCAATGCCTCATTTTTAATTTTTACAAAAGGGATTTCACAAAATAATAGCTACATTATTCAACAACGCAAAATATAAATTTTATAGGTGCATGTTTTACATATATAACACTGTATATAAATTTGATCTGTAATTTGGTTAGAAATTTTCATCATCTGAGTTGGAATTACTATTGATATGATTTATCTCTTATAAAATTGCTTTCTTTAACTTAATTCATTTTTTCATTCAATATTTTTCATTGTTTACACCTTTGCTAAGTTAAGGTTCAGTTACACCTTCTTACCCCACACATGTGTAAGTTTTTATAGAGGTTATATAAAAAAAACTGTTGTATTTAACTTTAAATTAACAATACGTTAATGTCACTATTAAATAGCTTATGCTTAAAAACTATATTAAGGTCTCGTAAACTAAACAACAGTGCTCACATCCAAAAAACCTAGAACGAAGAAAAATACTTTTGTTGTGGATTTTTAAACGTTGCCATTTATCACCTGAAAGCGACTTCAAAAGAATCAAGGTGATGGCTAGTTATACGTCTTTTACCCTCTACTTTCATATAATATCATACAATTTATCTAATTGTTCACATGATTTTTAATACTAATATACTAATCCTAATACTAAAATACACACATTCTAAGTAATATTTATCCACCTGCTATCAAAACTTGTTTTATCTACATTTTTACCTATGTATCTAATATAAGTATATAATATATAACTAGCTACTTAGATATTCTTCTAGTTATTACTATATTCATCTTGTTTTTATATCTACATTTTGTTCATATGTTGAAGTTACCCGTTTTTGTACTAACTTAATCATTTATTTATGCATCTACCTACGAAGACTAATATCCATGACAATTAAATTAGTGGTAGGAAAACCGGAATAAATTTCCCTAAATTTTTGAGGTAAATATTATATATTTTCAATCGATATTTACTATATTTGCTACGTAGTTGACTTATTTTTTGCCATTGGAGTAATATAAACTTCGACAAAATAATTTTGGAGCAATTATGTTCCGAGACCGCTGATTGAAATACTTACTGGTATTAATCTGTTCACCAATATCTTTATACTGTTATCTACTGATTTGCCTATCTCTTGATTTGATATAAAAAACAAACTATAATTTAAAAAAAATGTATTAAGCCTAAATTCTTAATTTCCCATAGGGTAAGTTATTGTAATCGTCTAAAAATCGAAAATGAAACTTTTTGCATATCTTTACATTTCAGAGGCTTTTGAAGATTTTGATATACCTTAGAAAAAATTGATATATATATATACGATTAATTGATATATATATATATATATATATATATATAAATGTGTGAGTGTGTGTGCGTGTGCGTGTGCCTATGTTGAAAATAATTTGTATTTTAATTTTGATTATACCTAAAGTTCTAAAGCTCACTTATATACTTCTAATAAATAATTTTACCTTTGCAATTTAGTTTATACAATTTTTATAAATGTTAGAAAATCTCATTTATTTTAAATCCGCTTGATCCAGTTTTGTTTATTTGCTTTTCATTTAAACATATATAAACATTGTCGTACAATTGATTGGCTCTTATATTTCATTTATAAAACACGAGTAATGAAAATTACAGTATTTACAATGATCTATTTGCAAACACTTACTATTATATTACACTATACGGGAATTTTCTTATGGCACGATGCCATGCACCACTAGTTATACTTGTTTTAACATTACCATTTCATTACATGATCTTTATTTTCGTAATTAAAGATGGATGAGTTATCATTCAATAATAATTGT